CACAAGCCACTGCACGCTGGCAGATATCTGAGGGACTTATCACTATATATTTATCCTGTTCTTACAGCAGATGTCTAGGAAAGAGTATAAATCACTGTAGGAGATAAGATACACCAGGCTATACATCCCTTAGCTTTGATCCAACACACAGCCCTTCTCACAGCTGGCTCCTCTTCTGTCCCTCCCAGACAAGGCCTCCACCTATTATTTCTATACACTCCACATGTAATGACTCAACGTTCTGCACGAGAAGTGAACCAGACGTGCTACATTCAAAGTATGCTAGTATTCCAACTATCCACCTATATACTGTGAAGATAGCCTAGATTTATTCTCGTGAGGAGTGGGCTTTTTGCATGTAAATTGATTTATAGAAAGTGTTCAAAGGAAGAAGGTCTTTGTGGGAGGGAGGGAAAAAACATCCTAGAATGGAATAGATTTGCCAGATCAGGGCAGATTTACCAAGATTCAAAGGGCTGCTTTCAGTAGACACAATTTCCCCTCTGCTGCACCTTCTGCAAAAGGGATGGTATTTCCCCAAGGTAGCATTTTATGAAGTTGTGACCTTAATTTGAGGTTTAAAGCCTCTTGTACAAAATACATCCACACAGTTCCCTAAAAAAGAAAGGTGAGACATGGCCAGAGAAGTAATACAAGTTTAGCAAGTATACATATGTGCAGAATATTTTGTATATTATATATGTTTCCATTTAACTAGCTCCTCCGTAGGTTTTCTATCATTAGCAAAAATGATGTCCCTATTTTTAAAGCTGGAATAAGTTTTTAGGGAAGTGGGTGAGAGTACTTACCTGAATAGTAGTCCCTTGGCCTGGCAGGGTCAGTGAATGAAGAAATGCCACCTAAATATAAGAATAATGCGTGTACTATTAGACTAAAACAATCACATTTTCTTTCTTTATAAAATACAAAATCAAATTTAAAGTACTCTTTCTTTCAGAGTCTGTTTCATAAGATACAAATATGAAACAATGGGTACCTATGAATTTTTTTGGCATCAGTGAGAGAATATAGTATTGGTAAGCTTGTATGTTGTTCCAGATTTTATAGTAGTGTGCCATGTTTAAGCAACGTACCCATGTAGCCTAGAAAAATGCAAACCAACCTAACAAACGTTCTCCAGAACACTAAATGAAAAATTTCTGCACTGAGATTGTACATTGGTAAAAATGGGTTAAAGCACAGAAAACTGAGGACTGGAATAACACTGCACTGTTTCTGCTCTGCTACACAGGAGAAAAAGACGACCTGTGTACTGGAACACTCCTTCCTCCAGGTCTTTAGTCACACAGCAACTTTCATAGCAGCAGGATCTCCATAGCATGTTTCGCTAACTACCGTGGCTTTTATCACAGAATCCCAGAACAATTCAGTTTGGAAGGGACCTCAGAAGGTCGCTAACTCAACTCCCACTCAGAGCAGGGTTAGCTATGAGATCAGACCCGGCTACTCAGTCAGGACTTCATCTTGTCAAGTCTTGAAAACATCCAAGGATGGAGACTGCAGAACCTCCCTAGGCAGCGTGATCCGATGCTTGACTGTCCTAACAGTCATCAGATAGCCCCCCACGCCACAGAAACATGCAATATTGACATTTAACTAATGTGACACTTCATGTCTGTTCCCTCCAGTGGGGTAGGAAATCGGATGCTTCTGTCTCTATTTTTCCACTTAAAACTGCTAAACATATATGACTTACTTATATCACCAAACTGCGATAAAACCTCCTGTGAAAAGCATACACATTTGAACAAATAATTTCCCACTACACAAACACCAAATCCATGGTCAACTTGACGGCACAGTCATGAATAAAGCACTCAATATATTAAGTAATCAGACGTAAAAAAACAAATATTCTAACAACCAACCCCAGCCCAGCTGTTGTGACAGGGCTTAGACTTCCAATTAAAACACTGAAATTTATGGGAGTGGTCATATAAAAGTTTGCAGGGCTGTATTTAAAACAATTGTTAGACTAAAGATGTCTAAAGATATAATCTTTTTCAAAAATAAGTATTACTACAATACGAAAAGCTGTAGTAATACATTGTTGGAAAGCTTGAGAATTCTGGTAACAATTTCTCAAGTGTCCCACAACCTTTTTCAAACTGTAGGGACTTCCACTAGAATGGACGCAAGTAGTAGAAATCAACACGGAAACATACTGTGTTCTGGCATATTTTCATGGCTTCACCACGCTTCATTTAAAGTGAAATTTTCATTTACATCTTATGTGAAACATTTTATTCTAAACTAACATTAAAAAAAAAGGGTAAGAGGTACTCCTCTAATTAAAAATATCTGAAAGACACAATTAGTGGTTCTTATCATCGTATTTAAGAAAAAAGAGTTGTTTTTTTCTTCTACGTTCACTTTAATAATCAGCATATCTTCAATTGCCGAAAAACTTACTGGAATGGCCTGAATTTCTATATGCAAGACTTACTGAATTTTAAAAATGAAAGTGTCTCTTATGCAGATTTTACAAATTGAACAAAATTATATACCTGCACAGGCTTTCATGATCTTTTTCAGAGGTCCCATAGTGTACATCAATCCAACAAGAATCCCTGCCAGATGCCCAGCAAAAGAAGTCCTACAAAAAAGGAAAATCTGTGAGTGATGGAAAGGAAGACCTTTTTTGTACGGATCCAGAAGAGGGAGCGCAGAATTTGTTGTAACTGAGGAAGCCCCTAAGTGAGACCAAGCATAGAGAAATTACTTGCCTGCAAGGACATAGTGCCAAGTTTTCTTTCTTCAGAGCTACCATAAAATTGCTAGGTATATACAGTTACAGAAAAGTATCTAACAAATATCCTGAAGAAGCTGGAAACTAATTGGAGAGATAATTTTAATTGCTTGTTTAAAGGACAGAATACTATATCCCTAAAAGCACTTAAAGTCAAGACTTACTAAGGTAGGAAACTAGTTTTAATCTATAAAAAAGTAAATCCACAGAATTATGCTGAAATGTCTAGGTAGGATCTACCAAAACCATATAGTTTCAGGTGAAAGCATAAATAGAGTACTTTCTACTGCACTATCAATACAATCCTACATTTAGTCTGAGATAAGCATGAATGCAGATCTCTTGCAATCTTTGTAACACAGTACCTTAAAAATTAAAAGAACAATGAGTGAAATGCTGAGATCCAAGTTCTTTTCTATACATACCAATGGTTTCTTAAAAAAAGATCATTGTCCATTTGTATATAGAATGAAAATGCTCTAGAGTCTTTTGAGAAATCATCAACATGGAAGCGTATGTTTACAGTAAATAAGGAGATTTGCTCCAAGTATTGCCATGGTTGTGGAGTACTCTAAATTCATAAACCAATTTTCAGCATTCAAATTAAGAGTTAAACTCTCTTGTGTTTAATCAGGTCTAGACATTCATTAATACTAAAATCTTTGGAGTTTAATCAGGTTTAAACATATGTAAATTGTTCTCCTCTATTATGAAGTTAAAGACGCCAATACACTAAACGTTAAGATTTTCCAGTATATGCAATTATAAATAACTCAGTCCACTGGATTTATACTGGTTGTCCAAAGATTCAAGTAACATGAGCTTTTTTGCCTTTATAAAGCAGAAATGAAACCTCTGTTTAATGTAAAAATAGATTTAAATGTTACGCTTTTTACATTCCCATCAGAAATCCAAGAGAGTTACACAGATATGCACTCATGACAATACAACTTCCAGGCATCACTGGTAAAAATATACAAGCAAATGCATGTGTCACTAGAGGGAGATAAAGATCAAATCTGAATTCACTCTTTTGCCACCTACTTAACCACAAACTTGTGTTCTGTTACGTAGAGCTGCGGTTCTCTCCCGTCAGTAGCCAACAATTTTTTTAAGAGTTACACATAAATGTTGATGTGGAAATTTATAGGTAAGAGGTAGTTAGCAAAATAAAGTATCTATAAGGAACTGACTTTCCAAACAGATTTTTCTGGAACAGATTTTCCAAATTTGTGAAAAATGCCTGACTTGGAAAATGTCTGTGCACAGAAAACATTAAATACTTCAAGATGCCTTACTCTAGAAATCACCAACATAAGATTGATTCACCTATATTCCTGGCAGTGTTTTAAACAAATTCTATGCTCGTCTTGATTTATCTGAGCACAACACTGTTCCACAAAACCCAAAATCAAGATCTTTGCTTGCAATACAGTGAAGCTGTATATTTACACAATATGAATAATCAAAAACCTTCAACTTTAAAAAAGTGTTTAGGGGGATAATTTCCACTTCATGCCTATTGAACAGGCTAGTGTACTAGATGCCTAAACACTATTGACTGTTTAATTATAAATTATATTCAAGGAGTAGAAACTTACAATGAAAATGTTTAAACAGGGTTTTCTAAATGAAAATTAATATCAGATACACTGTCACACATATATACTATCACTGACATGCAGAAAATGAGTACATTTGAAAAATCACATCAAATATTTACCATATGCTGTCACAAAATTAATTTGAGTGTGATCAACAGTAGCACCATTACTAAGGAAAAGCAATTCTGTAGAGTACAAAAGGACAGTTTCCCTTACATTAACAAAACACTATGTTACAGCCAGGTTAAGCAAACACCACTTCATTTTAGGATATGTTACATTGTAATTTACCTAAATGATAACTTAATACCTTTTTTTGCTAATGCTTGGTATCATTTGTAGTATAGAAAACATCTTTATAGACATTTTCCAAATGTAACAACTAAAACATACAGATAATACGCAATTTTACAAAAAAAAGTTTTATTAAAAACTTCTAATGTTGTCAAAACAAATTAAAAAAAAACTATGCAGCAAAATTCTGAAGTAGTTAACTTGTGTCTTTTCCCAGCTGTTTTGAGGATGGGTAAGGTTCCAGAGGACTGTAAGGGTATTTCTATATTAAGTAAGGGGGGGGGGGAACGACACAACTAGAGAAGGAGGAGGACTCTAGTCAGAAGACTACAAACTAATCACTATCTTCTGTTCCCAGATAAAACTATTTGTTCAACAACTACTAGGACACATAATTTGTGGATACAACCAAGGTAAGAACACCAGAAGCAGAAAACAGATTTGTCAAGAACAAGTCATGTCAAATCAATCAAAATTCCTCCTTTGACAGGGCAACAAGCCTCATGGAAAGGGAGAATTAGCAGATGTCACACATGCCGTAAGAATGCAGCACTGTCTCACAGCATTTATCATAAAGAAGGCTTAAAAACCTTAAACTCTAAAACTACAGTAAGCAGATCCCTAAGTGGTTGGTAAGTCTGACTTAATACTTACCAGTGATTCACTATCAAACTTAGGATATGAATCAAGCGGATTTCTGCAAGAGTCTATTCCAAATATTATTTACAAATGACAAGCTAAGAGAAGCTGTAAGAGTCACTGGAGATGGCATTACAATTTAAAGGAACCTTGACAAAATGAAGTAGCTGTTTGGAAAAAGATAGGGTGCAATTCAATAAAGACAGATACGGAGTTCTGAACATACCACAGAAATCATCAACTATACAAACAGGATAGAAGTGACTGGCTAGTAGGAGAGCTTCAGGATAGAGCCTGGGGCGCACAGTGAATTGTGCAGTAAAGCACGGATCAACATGTCACACCACTGTAAAAAAGACAAGTATTTCACTGGAAACATGTAAACAGGAGCACTATCTGGAAATAAGATGAAGTAGCCTTCCACTCTACTCAGCAGTGGTCTCAGCTGGAGAACCGAGCCTAGTTTTTGCATACTGCACAAAAAGAAGAGCAACAAAAAACTAGAGAGCCCACAAAACAACTTCTGAGAAAAGACTGAAGAGATCACAATCACTTAAGTCTATTGAAGAATTCTCTCACAGATACAATAATCTTAAAACATGGAAAAGATTGTCACAAATAGGGATGAATACACTCGCCACATTCTCCATCCATAGGATAAGGAGTAACAGACAAAGTCACAGCAAGAGATTTAAAAAGATTTAAGTAGCAGAACAGACTGCCTGGAGAAACTGGGGGGTCTCCATCCGGATGAGGCAGAGGCCTCCCAGATCCTGCTGGGTCCAGGGCCCATTCTCTCCCATGTTTGCCTCTGCTTCGCAAGGGAAAATGAGAGGGCTACTAAGATCCTGCAAAGTGCAATCACAGTTTATTATAGTGATAATCTTTAAATGTACGTTAGACTAAATATTGATAATATAAATTATATATACACACACATATATGGTTGTATATAAACATATACATGTTTGCCCTTCTGAAGTTATCACTCAGAGCATTTGTTCTGAGATCAGATTCACTCAGATCCTCTATAATCTTATTTTATAAAGTAGACTGAAATTATTCAATTTAAGTAAATTACATAAAATAACTGTTTTACACATGCAATTAATGTTCTTCTATCCACATGCCTTAGTCCAAAGTGGATACTCCTGTTTCCAATGAACTTAAATATATTTGAACAACTAATCCTGAATAACACTTCAGTGTCACTCTTCTTGACATTTTATTACATTTTACAGTGAATTTTAGTTTTAAGTAGATTGCCTTTTCTAAAAATTTGCATAATGGATTTCTTGCCTATGAGGCTGTCTGAGTTTTAGCTGCACAAATTGAAGTTAATGGCAAAACTACAACTGTTTTTACAAGGTGGGACTATATGCAAAATTGAGAACTAAACGCCATGGATTTTGGCTGAAAAGAAATTACTAAACAGTTTACAAAAAGCACAAAGTTGTCTGAAGAAGTCTTGTCCAAGCACATATTGCCCAGGCTCCTTTCACTTGTATTATAAATTCCACTTCTTTTTGTCTAATCCAGAAACCTGAGGTTACTCCTATTTTCTGCTTTTTATATACAGTAAATAATCCTGGATATCACTAAAAACTCTTACAATATCAGCAGTAAAGCATTATCAGCAGATGCCAAAATAGGCTTTTTACACTATTCATGAGAACAGCAAAGTCTTGACTGGAATGTATGTTTTACTAGGTAAAAATTGCCTGTTATTTTTTAGTTAGACTAATGAAGAAACGTTCTCCCGATTGCAACATGATAAACTACTGCCTTTTTTCCTGCTGGTTAATAACGAAAAATTGACAGATAATTTTTTTTTTCACAGTACAATTTTCAGTTTCTACAATACAAGCTGAACTTTGAATGGGAATAAAAACAGGGTTCTTGACTTTTTAAATTGCATGGTTTTTTTCACTAAATGTCAATGAGCTTTATCAATATTAACTAATGTTCTCCCTGGTACAAAGAAATTCAAATGATGTCTCATTTAACTTTTTGTTTGGAAATGTAGATATCCCAGAGATCTTACTTATCTCAACCATTCACTTCATACTAATGGTAATTATGCGGTATGTCTGAATACTGTTTCCTGAAGACATTTGCCATCAAGCTGATGTGCATGTTACTTCAGAAAAATCCTCTAAACAGAATTAATTACACATTTTCATTTGGCTGTTTAATTTCCATGAAAACTGGTATCACTAGAGGGAATACCATTTGGACTGCATTTGCTCTTCATGTATGAGAGATTCTGGCCCAATATTTGCAAGCCTCTCAGTATTAATTTTTACATTAATATTGTTCCAGTACCCTTACGATGAATTCAAATCAATTCCTCACTGTTGGTGAATTTATCTTGAATTGTTTCAATTCTGTAGTGTCAGTCACCTGACTCAACAAATGAAAACAGAGCAAGTCTACATCTGTCACTTAACTTCCATAACTCCTTCCTAACAGCAAACCCCAAAGTCTGGCAGGCATTATTATTTACGCATGCAATTCTACCACAAGACAAAGCCACTTATTTAGCAACAAAAGTATGTCTTCAGCTTAAGCCATTGCTGCAGTCTGTTGTGAAAAGATCTTATTTCCATGCATCTCCTATTCCAAGGCTAGGCTAGGCAGCATGCATTCACTGAACAAGCAAACGAAGGAATAATATCAAAGCGATATACTACAAGAATCTAGACCAACTTCATTTTTGAAAAACAATAAATTTTTTGAGACCATGGGAATCAAATCCATGTATTTATACATAGTTTATTTCCAAACTAACACAAGCACAGTCACCCGCACATGCCAGTTTAAACACTTTGCTAGGAAATTTAATCTTGCTTAGAAAGTAGGCCATGTAGTCAATTTACCAGTGCTAAATAACCCACCTGAATGCAAATTAAACCAAATAAAATGATTGCATAAGTAAAAGTCAACTTGTTTTACACAGCCCTATACAGGAAAATGCCATTGCTTCTTTACATGCAAATGGCAAACTTGTTAGCAATTTTGTAACTCGTTGGGAAAATAGCATAGAAAAGTAAAAGCTAAGTTTGACAAAAGAATGAAAGGCTATAAAATGGTTCTCATCATGTAATGCCATTCCTGTCAAACCTGGAGTTTTTTTGGTTGATCGGTTGTTCTTAGCCCTTTTGCTCCTGAGGGACAGTTCTCATCAATAAACAGCATAATAAACAGTTCAACAGTAAATCCGATTGATAACCAGTGATGACTCAGTGATATCCCTAAGCACTAAACAAGTGAGAAATTAAAAAAGCAGATGAAATAGGAAAATAGATACACACAAGAGATCTCATGAGGTTAAGTTTATTAGAGCTATGCAGAATACTTGTATTCACACCAGACGCTGTACCAGGGTTGAGACTGAGAAGGGTACAAGGCAAAATAATCAAAATTTAAAACCGGATTTGTCAAAATATGTCCTTGCATTTTCAAATATATATAAATTATTTTTTGTTGGTTTTGTTTTTTGTTTTTGTTTTTTTTTATGAAGCTCAGTATTCCTATTACGTTTACCTGTTTTGATCATGATCTGCTTTGAGATTTTGATTTCCTCTGGATCCTTGAATCCAGGTGAAATGAAGCAACAACTAATTGTCATTGTTGATTCACTATACATTACAACTGTGTAACATTTTCAGTTGTCAGCTATGAATGCTTATGACAATGATGTGCATCTCTATTGCCAAATGTTGCTGTGCTCTTGTTCTTGTGGGGGATAGTTCTCAGTTTGCAGTCTTCTCTTTTTTTAAGATTAAGAATTCTAATAAGCATCTTAAGTTGCCAAAAAAGAAAAAAGTCAACAGAACTGGCTCAGATCAACACTTATCAATATAGTTTATTTCGAAAAAGTTATAAAGAGAAACTTGGAAACAAGCTTAAGGCTAGAACTAATTTAGAAAATAGAAAAAAACTCAAGTAAGAAGAATTATACACTTTATGAATTGCATCATCCACAGATCTGGAAAACTTTATCAGACAACTGGAAGTCAGTAACTACAAAACCTGTCAAAACAGACGTCAAAAGGAGGCCTAGAGAAATGCCTAAGTCAGTTTTCAGAGATGCAGTGAGCTACAGAAATGTTGGACTTCTGAGATTCTCTGAACTCCAGAATAGCAAGTCTCACTATTTCTGACAAACTGCTAAAAAAGCAATTCTGGACAGTCACAATATCAAACCTCAACATTTCTGAATGCTGAAAAAAATAACACCCTCTACTCTTCTCCATTCCTAGCTTTCCACTCTCCCATTATTTTCATCCTTTGTTACTCTTAACTTGCTGAAAAAGTTTGAAAAAACCTGTAATGTCCAGCTTCCAACCCCAAAGTGTCGTCTTTGTCAATCTGACAAATATTTGAGTTAGTTCAGAAACAACCTGAAAGATAAGCTTTTCGTTTAATAGTGAGTATAGGTAGAGCACCTCCAAGCAAAAGGGATAGATGACTTAAGATACCACATGCACAATTCTGGAAGAGGCATAGAGGTTAAACATAAGATAACTTTTCACATGCCTGTTCTTCCATCGAAGAAATAATCCCAATGATTGCTTTAAAAAGCCGACACCTCAATATCCTTACTTTATGGAAGGCGAAGAGTAGAAGAATATTACATGTCTTTTAAAATTTCCCCATAACAGAAATATTAATGAGAAGGAAAAGAATTAGCAGATGCCAGTAAACCCCTAAATCCTCTCCTAGAACACAAATCAAACTTCTCAATAGCCTCAATATTACTGTTGAATCCCTCGCTGGTTATGGATTCTCAGGTGATCCTGATACATCATTCCACTAAGGCAGGTCCAAATTTATTGCATGTCTTTCTGACTGGACAGAATTTTGGCCCAATTACTGACCTCTTATCTATTCAAAACTAAATTATGCAACTTGATCTACAAAGGGACACCATTTAATCAGACGCTTCAAATATTACAACATGCCCTGAGCAAGCAGATGAGCATGTAAGAGCAATGCTCTGAGAGCTACAATTGTTCTGGTTCATTTCAAGGCAGTCGGCAGTTACTAATTAAACATGTTGTGTTCTGGGACGTGAATTTCTGAAGATTACTACTTGTTTTCTATGGCCCCCATCACCATTTAAGTGCTGTGAAATTGTCCTAACTATCAAGAGTGAATGTAACAATGTAGAGGTTCTTCAGAACAGGCAGCAATCCTGCTGCCATAAAATTATGAAAAGGTTTTTGACATTATTTCTGGACCTTCTATACACTTTCTACCCCAAAGAGATTTCTGCAGTAATGCAACTGAAAAACAACAGCACCCAACCACTAAACTCATGTTTTTCCTCTACCAGATACAGTACGATATGCTCATGGTTTTACTTCAGACATAATGTTCTTTCATTATTCTTCAATAATAAAACAAACAGTAGTATGAAACATATCACCAAATAAAAACTATGTTCAGCTAAAACAACAGTTTATATTTTTTAGAAGAATGTTTTTAATGCACTGAAAACTTTGCTTTTATACTTGCAGTAATGCCATGCAAGTGACCTCTCAGCTCACACTTAAAATTGCATTTGGAACAGAGCACTCTGTAGTTCTTCTGTCTTTTAACCTAGGATTCCTTGCTGCAGTCAATCAGGCAGTAAGTCATAAAGCAGTAAAACCAGTGTTTAACATAAGTAATATCTGAATTCTCATTCTGGTCTAGGAAATGTTCTATCTAGTATACCATAGCATCTGACGAGGAGTATGTCAGCATTGCTCCCCTCTTTTTTTTTTTAAAACTTTCTGAAAAGTGGGAAATTGTATATAAACTGTGACTTGGTAGTTTCTAAGTTTGGTGTCTGTACTTTGCATATATTCTCCAATATGATTGACAGTTATAAAATATTATACAAGAAAATCACTGATTTGCCACTAGAACTCCAGAAATCAACTGCCGAAGAAGAGAAAGGCACTATTCTCACAGAGGTAGGGACAGATGAGCTGTGCTGGCAGAACTGAGCACACAGGAAAGTTGAGGGAAACGATCAGCAAGACTGCAGGACAGCGAAACTGCATAAAATTTGCAGAATACTGGACGATAGCTTTATCATAAATTACAGGAGTGGCTACAACAAATGGACAGAAGGGACTAGGACAGAAATAGCAAGCAAACAGTGGAATGCTGTTTTGCTAATGAAGCGCTTGGCACTACAGTATATTAGTTTCCTTACTTTGCTGAAAACGCACGTCCCTTTTCCTTGCCCATCAACTTTTGTTATCTTCTCTCAAATACTTAGTAATACCTTCTGGGCACAGGATGTCAGCTTTTTATTTTGAAATGTGCTCAAAAATAGAGGGTGTTAAGGAAAAAAGCAGACTGTAGCCTCAACACTTAATTGTAGCCCCAACACTCCATTTGGATACCACATACTTCATAATACATTTCAAACTATTTCAGATAGCCCAGATCTCTTCTCCTAACTTTGAAATATTAAATGCACTTACCCTGGGGAGATTAAATGAATAGCCACCAACTCCACCCAACAGGCATATTTACTGGGTATCTGCAATCCAAGGACACTGCTGACTCTTCCTGGATTGTAATGGTTGTTAAGAACCTTCAAAGCAAACAAGACTCCTGCAAACAAGAAGAAATCACATAGAGAGAAGTACTTGTGCCCAAATAATAGAGAAATGCAAACAACTTAACTACTGAAATTGAAGTACCATGCAGTTTCACAGCACCACGAAGCATACTGTTGCATGCCAGAACAACAGTTCTAAGCTGTCAGTGATACTTTTTGGTGACTTAAAAAAAAAAGATACAGTTTCACAGCACCACGAAGCATACTGTTGCATGCCACAACAACAGTTCTAAGCTGTTTTTTCAGTGATACTTTTTGGTGACTTAAAAATAAAAAGATAAAAAATTACATATTTGTATAACAGCCAATTCTAAGTTGCTTTTTAATATGCCTACTCAATGTAGCTATTCAGGTATTCAAAACAATACAAACATAATTTTAAAATGGGAGTTCTAGTTGAAATAATTAATTGACAAAATTATTGAACTCAAAAAAATGTTCCTTAAGTTGAGAAAAGCCATTACTGAAAACAAGACAAACAGATGCATGTGAAGCTCAACAGTAGGCTCAAATTCTGAATTAATGGAAAATCACCTTACATATACTCCAGAATCATTTGTTTCTGAAAAAGAGTAGATAAATCATCTTTAATCACAATAAATAATCATTCAATTCTAATCGACTGCAACTGTTTTATCATGCAAGCAATAGCCGATAGGACAGAATAAATTCACATAATTTACTGGAACTTCCAAAATGTTTTTGAAAAAATTCCTCTCAAAAGAAAGCACACACAGTTGTTTGGAAAAAAAAAAGTCTGAAAAAATCAACAAGGAAAAGATTTGACATGGAAAAAGATAGCAGAGATGAACATCAATACAGATATACTAAATAAAAACATGAAAAAGGTTTCCCTCCCCTTCCAATGCCGTAGAAAACAAGAGATAGCAAAATTCCTTAATCTATCTAGTGATGTAACTATTGTTATTCTAGGATCAAATATAAACAGGAATGCGTGTATGCACATACACATATGCTCACACTATTTGCTGCTGATAAAACTCGACTTGTTCGGAAACTATAAATTTACTAAAGGCGAGAAATATTCAGTAGCAGCAGCATAGTTTAGGAGTCATCTCCATCCAATCCACCCTTGGCTTATGAGAACCCTGTCTCTACAGCTTCAATTTTTATTTTTTTCTTTTCCCAAAGGTTTAAGTGTCCATTGCAACTGCCTGACCTGGTGTATTGTCAGGTTCCACCCAGGGGGACAAGGGGCAGGCCTGTTTCATCCATTTAAAATAAAATAAAATAATTAAAAAAAAAAATCCAGGCATCCTAAAACTCTTAAAACCTGGTACAGTGAATGGGTCATAAATATGCATACAGATTGGCTCTTAAAGAAACAGTTATTATCAGGAAAATACTTGTATTTTCTTCAACAGCTGTTCCATATACATGCCACTTGCCCCAACTGAAAATAAATTACCTATGCTGAAGGTCATGTTGAGAATGTTGAAGGTTCAGAAAGATCAACTATGGATACTAACTCTGTCAGAGCTACTTTAATCTGCTGCCTGAATAATGGTCAAATGCACGTGCACATAGGCTGCAGTCCCACATTTCCAAGCTTGGAATACTCAAAAGATGCTGCAGAAGGTAAGTCACACCAGAACAGGATGCAATACTCAATGCTAGATCTGAACTATCTATCTTTCAGAACGTGTAAATTGAAATCCAATTAGGTAATCCCTAAATTGACAAAAAGCTTGACTTTTTGTCCTCTGCACAAATGGCTTAGTAGATTAGAGGCTTAGTGCCACTCTCTTTTTAGTTCACCAAAAAATCCAGAATAGATGCTCCAGCCAATATTGTAGTGTGGCTCATGCCACTTGCCCCAACTGAAAATAAATTACCTATGCTGAAGGTCATGTTGAGAATGTTGAAGGTTCAGAAAGATCAACTATGGATACTAACTCTGTCAGAGCTACTTTAATCTGCTGCCTGAATAATGGTCAAATGCACGTGCACATAGGCTGCAGTCCCACATTTCCAAGCTTGGAATACTCAAAAGATGCTGCAGAAGGTAAGTCACACCAGAACAGGATGCAATACCCGATGCTAGATCTGAACTATCTATCTTTCAGAACATGTAAATTGAAATCCAATTAGGTAATCCCTAAACTGACAAAAAGCTTGACTTTTTGTCCTCTGCACAAATGGCTTAGTAGATTAGAGGCTTAGCGCCACTCTCTTTTTAGTTCACCAAAAAATCCAAAATGCATGATAGAAGTGAATACCCGAAACGGATACTTCTTCACAACTTCTAGGTCTCAACTCCTCATCCTACAGTCTAGGATGATACAAGAAAAGAGGTTCAAAAAGAAGCTCGATGGCAGCACCTCCCAGTTGTTCACAGAGAATAATATTACAGAGCACACTTCCCCCACGAATCACCCAGCAACAGTCGGAGTACCATATAAGAGCTAACCCTAGAAAGTCCAGCTGAGACTGGACTGAGTGTACATATTTCAGTCATTTCACCACTAATAATAAATATTCAGTAGGGTTCTGCAGTCACTGTTAGGGAACAGCAAGAGTGAGATGCTCCGCAAAGGAAGGGTATCCAACGGGAACAGGGAGGCAGGCAGGTGGCAACCTCCCCAGTAGGGGCCCAGTCCCATAGTCCTTGAGCAAAGTGCACAGGGCGGGCTGGTGACGGTAAGCGGGGTCGGCCAGGAGCCCAGATCACCAGGCGCATCTTCGTGACAAAGCAGGGCCAAGGAAAGTCAGGAAGTGAAATCGGGGCCCAGGTCAGAGAAGCACATGGCTAGGCACAGATGAAACGCAGCTCAGACAGGGACAACGCAGAGGGCTTGAGCTTAAAAGCAGCTGCTGAGCAATGGGGGAAAAAGGCCCCTGGTGAGGTTTCTCTCAGCCATCTCACACGCCTCTTTCCCCATTAGTCTGAGGTGGGTTGCAGCTGCCCCATATCAGACCTGTCCTTGAGCACAGGCAGCCAAACCCCTCAGGGGAAGAGGTTGCACTCAGGGCCCCTACAGCCACCATAAAGACCAGTATTAGAACTGGGCATGTCTCCTCACCAAAGGGTGGGTGACCAGAGAATATCTGAAGCTCCAAATGAGCAACTATCAGGATGTTCCAACCATTACCAATTCAAATACCACAAGAAACCAACCCTCAGAGGTGTTGAAGCACCTTTCTCAGAGGTTGAAAAGGAGGGCTTGCCTTCTAATGCTAGGTCCCAATGACAGCATGAGTACAGCATGCACCTAAAGTACATGCTTTAAATTAAAAAATAGGATAACTTTTTTGACATAACAACCACATACATGCATATGGATATACATCTATCTGTTTTCTGCATTCAACAGATATTGCTATATAGTACCTATAAATATTAATTTTACATATATAAATTGGACCAACTATGTGCCTTACCTGAAAAACCTACAGCACAATTCATTTCGTATGACGGATCATCCAGAATTTTCACTAACCACATACATGCATATGGATATACATCTATCTGTTTTCTGCATTCAACAGATATTGCTATATAGTACCTATAAATATTAATTTTACATATATAAATTGGACCAACTATGTGCCTTACCTGAAAAACCTACAGCACAATTCATTTCGTATGACGGATCATCCAGAATTTTCACAAGCATGAATTCCAGCACCATATAAACAACTCCAATCAGCACTGAAAATACTGCAATTATGTATGCAAACCATATGCTCTTAAGCTTTTTTTCCAGCATTATCCCCTTCCAAAGCATGGAAATCATGTTATAATATAAATGCCAGTCATCTGCATGGTGGACAGGAGAAAGCAGTAAACGCTGCCAGTTCCTTCTGTAGAAGCCTTCATTTACACTGATACACACTTCAGGCAGCGGCCTCACAGGATTCAGAAAGAGAAAAATATTCAGTGCAAGTACCCCAAGAGTAACAGAAGGAATGTTCTGGAGTCCAACTTGAGAAATTTGATAAAGCAGCAAAAGCAGTCCAGCATTGACTCTTCCCTGCCTTCGTTGCATTATTACTTCTTATTCAAAGAAATGTGAAGATTATCCCAATTTCTAGTATTTCATTCGAATGCAAAACCATACAAGTTTTGGAAATTCTGAAAGAAAAAAGATAACTGCATTATTACACATTGTTGTGGTTTAACCTCAGTCGGCAACTGAGCACCACACAGCCGCTCGCTCACTCCTCCCCCCTGCCCCAGTGAGAAAAACTCATGGGTTGAGGTAAAAACAGTTTAATAATTGAAATAAAATAACAATAATAATAATGTAATAATAATAATATACAAAGCAAGTGATGCACAGTACCATTGCTCACCACCTGCCGACCGATGCCCAGCCAGTCCCCGAGCAGCGGCCCCCCGTACTGAGCGTGACATCCCATGGTATGGAATGTCCCTCTGGCCAGTTTGGCTGTGCCCCCTCCCAGCTTCTTGTGCCCCCCCAGCCTTCTCAGTCGGTAGAGCATGGGAAGCCGAAAAGTCCTTGACTAGTGTAAGCATTACCTAGCAACAACTAAAACATGGGTGCGTTATCAACATTGTTCTGGTCCTAAATCCAAACCACAGCACTGTACCAGCTACTAGGAAGGAAATTAACTCTATCCCTGCCGAAACCAGGACACACATATACAGGGGTGTTTTCAAGCTCATCACTGCTTTTTTTTTTTAACCCAGTGAATTCTTTAAGCTAATCAGCTGAGACCTTTTTTAAATTAGAACAAAAATTCAAGTGAGGGGGAAAAAAAAAAAATCACAATTTTTAAACTGGCATAAGACACAAATAAAAGGGGTTTATAAAGATAATCCAGACAAGCGTTGTGAGAAAAAGGAGTCTGCAACCTCTCTTTCATGTCCCTGGACAGGCTTTACTTCATCTATAAAATTCCTGGATGTCCTAGACATGTTCTCTTTAATATCCTGATTCACTCAAAATTATTAAAATTTCAGGAAGGAAACCAGTTAAAAATTCTTCTCGGGAGTCTCGGTTTTCAGGCTTCCCATCTTTGCTACGTACATAATTTTTTTTTCATGACAGTTTTTCCAACTTTTGCAAATATTCAATACAAGCTAAGAATGAAAATTAAAAGTCACAATTTCAAAAAGTAACAGAGACACAGCTAAGTACTCCTAAATGTAAGCTTTGAAAATTGTTATTGTTTTCCTAGTGACTGAATTCAAAGTTTAGTTTAAAAACATGCGATGGTAAAAAAAAAAAACAAAACTGTAGGAGGAAAGCATATACAAGAACAGCACACAAACTTTCCAGACAGTTATAGCAAAACATTCATCTCTGCCCTATTTATGCCAGATAAAATGGAGGATAAAAAAGGGCTACAAAAGTTCTAGATCTAGCTAGAAATAGGGTTACTATGACAGAAACTGAGAAAGGGCATCAAGCTAACCTGTGCAAGCCTATAAAGAGAGGAGGGAAGAAGCTGCATTGGAGAACACCACACAAAGGTGACATGGAGTTTCTAGAGAGTGGAACCACCTGCAGAAGACAGGAAGAGACACTGAATTTCAAGTAGCTTCTGAGGGCTACCTCAACTTGGCCAGTACTATTTTTAGTTCTCAAAACTCTCCAAGGTGGCACAACAACAGCGTGGCCACTCTTCTCCACCTCTAGGATGCCAGTTCTTTGCTGGACTACTGAAGATACGCAAGACATTATTTCACATGTAAGTATCAACCATGCAGAGCCAGCAAAATACACTTATTCTTCAAAACTTCACCATCAGGTTTCAAATGAAACTTCCTGAAATATGTAGATATATACAAAATTCTCATCTCAACACCCTATTCACCTCCTTTTCCATTACATTATAAAATAGTTAGAATAAGTTGCTAATATACTAACTTTTTATTTAGTGTAAATTCCTTTCCAACTCATCACATCAAATGCTTCCTCTGTAAACTTTTTTATTAGATAAACAGCAACAATCTAATTCTTCTGGAGGACAGCAGAAAAGAATGACACATTTATAAGGAGAAAAGAGCAACAGCTCAAGATGCAAAGTTTAACATTCCACATTATGTCTATTAGGATTTACTAAATTGCACATTTCTACAGACCATCGGTGTGCCTGCAAACACTTTACTAAACATTCTTCTTTAGGTATTCAAAGTATCATTGATAATTTGATCAGGTTGCACCACACAAAGTAAGTGAACACATGGAAAAGAAGGAAATCACCTCTGAACGATGTTATCCTATAACAGCAAAAGGAACTACGAAACCTGCACAGGGTTGAACATTGAAGATCATCATCTGGGGCCAGCCTACCTCCTCTACTTATATCTAAGTGAGAGGATATCTCCTCTACTTCCATGCTAGTTCACACACATAATTAATTAATGCCACTTCTTATAGTTGTTATTCTAGTCTCTAGATTTCTCTTTAAATTGCATTTATGCTTATTATAGCACTTTAAGAGAAGAAAAAAAAAAAACAGTAGCATCCTCAAAACAACTGTAGTAGAACAGAATGCAAGTACATTTATTTACTACATTAAAAGGAAATTCACTGCATTTTTTCCCATGGCCTAATCTCAGAGATGCTACATAACGTCCAAGTCCTGCCCAAAACAGAGTGGAAACAGCAGAAACACACTTTATACCAGGTCTCTGGAACATGTAACTCCAACTACACTGGTGCCTTTAAAAACCAGTTTCTAATCCCCACAATTTAAATAGAGAGACCACAGCTGTAGTCCCTACAAAGCCCAAATGAGCTAAGACCTCTTAAAGTGTAAACTGATTGTTGCAGATGATAATTAACATTGTCAGCCTTTGACTTTAAGTCAACATTACCAAAAAAATACTTAAATAATCAAAGGTTTAATCGCTATCATTCTCTTTTTCCACACTACAGGCTCTGATACCAGGTATACCAACATCCCCAAACTGTTCTTTATGCATGTACCCAAACCTCTGACTTTTCTCATACCAGTGACACAGCTAAATTTTTTTCCCACCACAAAACAGTTGACATAAAAACTGTTAGAATTTAAAAGTCAACATCATTTAAACCCAAGTTATGTGGAAACCCCAAAATCTTGCCATACCACATTGTTCAAACTGCCAAATACTACAGTCTTACTTTTTAAAGTTCCCCCCCCCCCGCCTTGTGATACTCTTTAATTACCAATTTAAATACTTTTAACACATATGCACCTAGGAAAAGAAACCCTCATACCGCACTTATCTGTACAACAATCATGTAACATGGCTGGGATTACAGTAGTGCTGTTTATTATAAATCATTCCCATTATTGGGAGCAATCAAAAATGCCAGCCAAGACACATTGTGTGATTATAAAGGAAAAAGATATAAGAAAGAAAAGAGTAGTTATTTGACAGCCTTCTGGAATGCAACTCACTTAAAATATATAGAGCTTTCAACCGTTTGAACATTCTTCCTCAGCCTCTACTCTGTTTATTAAAAGTCTAATGAGGCTTGAAACAATGAAGCACTTATTCCTTTTTCTTTTTTGAAAACATGCCACCCACTTCAAAATGTACAAATTTCCAGAACAGACTTGAAATGGACATTTGTCTTGCATCTAGGCTGCCACGTGTCTGCATTTTTGTCACCTACTCAAGATAAATGTCTGAACTAAACATTCTTGGAATTTGTTTGTTTGTTTTGTACTAACCAAGTGCGAAGCATTTAAACTTTTATTTTTACTGTGACAACCCTGCTTGCTCACTTGGCAACCATAAAATATTATGACTTCATATTACTGAAAAATCATGTAATAAAGCAAATATTTTAGTAAATACCAGTTAAAATGAAATGTTATACTGTCTTTTCCTATAGCTGTAATTTGAAGTTAAGAGGAAAAGAATCTCCCTGTACCCTTGCTCCCCCCAAAATGGACAGAACTACCCTGAAATTTTGATTTATGTTTACGTGAAGCAAAATCCAGCCCATTCCCCTTCTCCTTAAATAAATAAATCAATCACACTGTGACATAAGCCTAGATTTTTATGAATAGATGGAGACATATAACATCTCATTCCCACCGAGGGTGAGGGTGAACGCAGCCATGATCTACAGATTTTGCCGTTATCTGCATGGCACATCCTGACCTTCAGATCTGTCAGCAACCTTCTCTCTAGAACTGCTTTCTTTTTTTTCTCGTTGCTTTGCAAAAATTATTTGTAATGGAGGTACCTTCGCATTGTATAACTCTCTACTGACAGAAAAAAATCCCAGGGTTACTCTTCCAGTTCAGGTGAGGAATATGATTTTGAAGTGAATTTCTCCATTGCCCCCACTGACTTCACTCTGGTTCACATCGTGGAGTGGCCTGAGTGTGCATGAACTAGTCTCTTTTTGGATGAAACTAAACCAGGAGATGTGTTCCAGGAAAGAACCCAGTGCACTCCAGAAAAAATTGAGCATTCAGCCTACGTGCCCGGATTAGAGCTAGACCAATGTAAAAAAACCCACTTAAAACATGTAAAGGGTGAATATCAGATCCTGAGCACAAACCATTTCACACTACAGATAAGCCTCAACAGGCCCACGCTACTTGTCTATGAAGATACAGTCTCAGGGTACAAAGACTTATCCAAGCAAAGAATAAAACAGAAACAGTGTTTTTAGGGCAAAAGGAGAGTCCTACAAAGGAAGCAGAAGCAAACTGTAAACCCTTTTACTATTGCTCTCAAACTTTGGAAGCAGGGGGGGAAGGAAGGCATATCAAAAAAAAAAACCCAATGCAAGAAAAAACTCAAGATTTGAAACATAATGAATCATCCTGTTTATATTTATTATATATGCAAGGAGAAGGTCAACCACAGCTGTCAGTTACAATAAGCTTTGAAATGTATAGTCAATTACATCGTTCATAACAAAAGACAAGGTTCTGATATAATTATAAAAGTAATTACTTTATAAAGAATGACCTGGATTAATCAAATGTGCCTTTAAAGGGCATAATATGCATCCATTCACAAAGGAATACTGAACTTTAAACTGAAAAAACACAACACTTCAGAATTTGGTATGAGAAGTCATACATCTGTAATACAAATGTTTTAAAATAATTTAAGT